TTTAGGATCTGAAGGCAGCACTGGTGACAAATGCAAAGTAAAGTGAATGGGGAATGGAAGACTGACACCTGTGTAGCGTTCTGAATAATGAAATATGCAGGCCGCGCTGACAGCTGATTGAACCAAGCAAGCTCCATTTCATAGCCCTCGAAAAGCTTTATAGAAATGTCAACAAGCAACAAATAAGAAGGCAGCGCTGTGAAATTGACATCAAATGGAAACATCTTTTTGAGATGCTGTCAAGGCTGATTTCGAGAGCAGCTTTGAATGTTTGTGAAGTGCCAGGATTTCGGCCGTATTATGTCCATTTTGAAATACAGAGTCAAAGCATGAAAGCGTAAGAAATGATTACAGGTCTCAGAGGGAACAGCTTCAGAGCGTGAAAAGCAGGAAAAGAGTATTTACAGATAAAAGAGAAACTCAAACTTGGGAGGGGTGTGAGGAGTGGAGGATGTATCCAACAGCGGGCTCTTTAAAGACCCCCAAGAGTTGTTTGGGTATTTACACAAATAAGCGCCGCAATCACAGTTAATCTCTCACTAATCTTTTGCATTTATCCTTGAGGGAAAAAGAATAAAAATTAAAGCCGCATCTAACGGCCCTCGCCGCACAACGCACCGAGATGGCGCTGACGCGCCATTTTCCCACTGCCCTGATGGGAGCGACACTGTGTAATTTTACTTTCTATGATTAGTGATTATGTTTCTCTATTCAAAAGATATACCTAATTTTCCCCATGTAACACTTGCATCAGTCTGTAGGGGGCACTAATGCTGATATTTCATGATTCACACTTTCAGTTTACTCAAACCCAAGAGTTAAACAGTCATTTCAAATTGTGTGCAAATCGGACTTTGTATGTGCAAACGGAAGGCATTTGTGTTGTAAAACAGCGCCCCCTACAATTTCAATTGTTTAGTCTTATACCAAAGAACACCAAAATAATACACTTAATGCCTGAAAAAAACTTGTGGCAAAGTTTGGTGAGTTTTCATGTTTGTAAAGTGGGTCAAATATGAGATCAAACAACAGAAAACCCAAATAACTGTATCCCCATGTAAACCTTTACTCAGCCTGTAGGGGGCGATAATGGGCCAATGTTATTGTTCACACAGTCATGAACAACCGAGTCAAGTTTAGTGCAAAGCAGAGTTTGTGTATGTGCTCCTGCAAACAGGAGCACATATAATCTGTGAGTGTGTCCACACAGTCTCCATTGAATAACATGGGAACTTCACACCTCTCTATGAAAGTAACCACACTTTGGGAGTCTGTCAGGCGCAAACCGTTTGACTAATTTAAACTCTATATGCAACTATTGATGGTCCATGTGTTGAGACCATGTGGAGCGATTTTCAGACAAATTAGTGAAACGGCCGCGGCTGGTTTGATGTTTGAGCGAGGTGTACTTTTCAGAGATTTAACGATTTTCCCATAAACACAGACAGGGGAGTGTTGGTCGTCGCCACGGCAACAGGGTAAAAAATAATCATATGTTGTCATTGACTTTTTTAATCCAGATGACAAAACAGAATTGTGTGCAAAATTTCAAACATTTTGACAAAACTAAATTTTAAAAAGCCCATGTAAAACTTTAGCATGGTCTGTAGGGGGCGCTCATGAGCCAATTTCAATATTTCCACTTTCAGATGACCTTGGAGCTGAACAATGGATTAAAATTTGGTGCAAATCCGGCTTTGTTTGTGCAAACGGGAGCAAATTTACTTTTGTCAAAAATCCCCAAAAAAATGTCACATTTTGCCGCTCCGCTGCTCGGACAACGTTTAATTGATCCAAATTCTATATTCAATAATATATGGGACATGGGTTTAGACCATGTGGAGCGATTTTGAAACAAATCGGTGAAGGGCCGAGGAGGAGATAATTTCCAGCCGACATGTGTGAAAAAGATCAATTTTCATTTTTCCATTTTCCAATTAAATTAATGAGCTTCCTGTTTGTCAGGGGGCGGAGCCATAATAACTTTTTTTTCATGTTTTGACCTGAGGAACATGTGTACCGAATTTCGTGGCTCTACGACAAACTTGACCTTCAACCCCCTCCCATAGGCGCAATGTAAACTGACTTTTGTAGGGGGCGCTATTCTGACATTTTTTTAGTCCCATAAAAATAAACACCAAAAAAATTAATTTTTCACCGGTTCTGAATTTTGGGCAAAATTTCACAACTTTTCATCAATGTTCAGGGGGTCAAATTAAGGCTCAAAGCGCAGAAGAAAAAAGAAAGAAAGAAAGAAATATACCAAGGAATTTTTTTTGGGAAACTTTGAGCAAAAACAATATAGGTTTCCATAGTAACCTATAATACAAATGATACGTCGTTTTAAAGCGAACGATGAGGCGAACGCAACTATTGGGTTCTCGGTGATTGACGAGCGCGTCAGCGCTCGTCAATCACCTCGCCCTCATGAGGTCACCCACCCCCCCCATAGGACCCCATTCATTACACTGTGTACTACAGCAGGAGCAAAGCCATTCAGTGCCTCCGGCACTGTTTTGTCAGTGTCTGGGCACGCGCCGTCGGGCTTGGGGGACGAATGTCTGGGCTTCGCCCGGACATTCGTCCGTAAGACAGTTGAAGGAACCCCCCGTAATAGGACTTCAATCATTTCACTGTGTACAACAGCAGGAACAAAGCGTTGTACAAAGGATGTTGATATAGTTGCTCATTTAAATGCTATTGTTTACATTCACTTATACTAATGACACTTGTAAAGAGGGTAGGCATAATAAGCAATAGCTTCAGCCTACTCCTTTTCGGTCTTTCTTTCTGCTGTAATTTACTGTCCTGTGACAGTAAATTAGTGACTGAAATAAACTTCATTCATTTGAGACCAAATATACAAAGTGAAGGACAAATACATATACATTGGGAGATTTTTAGAGAAAACATGAGATTGAAGATTATATGATTGCAGAATATATTACAACTATATATAGATATATATATACATATGGGTTTGTTGATAAATCAGATATCATTCAGATTCAAGATTCAAGAATTGATTTGCCATTTACAGTAAAACCACAATGGAAAAACTGTGCAAGACTTCCCCAGTGTGCACCAAGTCAATTAAATTTAGAATAGCACACACCAGAGCCTTGCAGAAAATATCCAAAACAAAATATGATGATAATAAAAAAAAATAATAATATAAATAATAAATTGGTTTTATATAGTGATTTGTTGGATAGAAGTAGAAATAGTGCTAACCACTCTGCCAACATGTTTGCATATGCCAGGCAGCACAGGTCAAAATGTTGATGGTTTTTCCCATGACTGCTCATATAAGATGTCGTCATTCCCAGCAGCATTAGTTTAGAAAAGAACATATTTATAACCTAACCCGTTACAACAGCACCTTCTAGACACTTTCTAACACAGCTTTGACTCAGATTACGCAATAAACATGAAGAATTAGCGACATTAGCAACACATCCGCCAACATGCTCATTAATGTCAGGTGCTTCATTGTTTCTCTGTGGAAAAGGTCAAAACCAATGATGACAGTCGACGCTGGCGTCATCTCTGCAGCCGCCTGTAACGACCTGCATTACTCAGCGTCCACCTGCCCATGCTCTACTGTCTTCATCAGTTTGCATGGATTTACATCGAGCTAATGAGTCGTACAACTGCTTCATCAGGAATTGTTTAGAAACTGTATTGTTGTCTTTTGTGCTTAAATAACTATAATGAAACTTTTGTTACAGATCCATGAGGCTTCAGTAGTTCATGGAGAAAGCAAATTAAACTGCAGCTATTCAAAAACACATTCAAATGAAAACTGCAAAAATAAAATATTAATGCCAGGAGCTGAAGTGGAGAGAACATTACAGAGCACTCACAGGGGAGAAAACACAGGTCTGTTCTGCCCTGTCTTCAGTTAAATAGAGATAAGACACAATAGGAACTAGGTAAAAAAGAAATCCATAGAGCAGCTTTCAAATGCAATACCCATCCTTAATATTATTTCTGTAATGAAAACAGGAGCAGTTAGTACAGCTAAAGCTGTTTCTCATTAGAAATAAAAAACTCAGGTTCATTTTAGGGATACAACAATCCTATTTTTTTTTTTTTTTTTCTGAAACCAATATGTGAAGGTCCAGATGGTCTGGATCACCTAAGAAAGGTAATCATTTGTTCCTTCCCCCATTTCCAAGCATAACTGAAAAGGCTTTTCCCACTGGTACCTAGTGGTTTCGAGCCCTACTCTACTTGGTGTGACTTGGCCCCGGTTCAGAGAGTTTCCATTTGGTACTGGCCGCTCAGAACGGGCACTTTTTAGCTCCTGCTCCCCTGGGGTCAAGTGGAAACTAAACGTGGCGTGCTCAGAGCGTCACCTGCTGACGGAGAGAAGGAACATTGCAACAGAGAAGACATAGATCAGCCACTATTATCACCTGAATAGTATTGTTTAAAGCGTTCATCTTATGTGCAGACCAGAGATAAAACCTAAAAGATTATTTGCAGAGAATAGGAGAGCACCAACTACTTAATTTGCCTCGATACACAATCACAGTTTTGCAAAAAGTTAGCATCAACTGTTTCCTGTTCAAGGCAAAGCCACCCTTGCTGCGGGACAACCAAACTCATTACTGGTCAAATGTGCCTTAGTTTACTGTCTGTGCAACATACACACCACAGTGAAGCTGATCTAAATACCTGAATGTCTAATTATTTGAATCCTCTTTGGAGGGAAGTGAGGAACAATGAAGTGGGTTCAAGGACAAGAATGTAATCTTGCTCCCAACAGAGAGCCGCAGTCTGGAGCACCAAGGACACCATTTAGTCCATTAAACAAGAAAAGGCCACATCAATTCTATATAGATGTGGACACAACATCTCTTTTCTGCAACACAGGAGCAAGACTTCACACACATGCAATGCTGAAGATGGAAATGGCAAATCCACATCCACCGCCTCAGGCTCGGGGCAAAATGGTGAGGTGTAGGTGCAGTGAGCAGAGGGAGTGTACTCACGGAGCTCTCCCACTTTGAGAATTTCACACAGCATCTTGGTAAGTTCAATGCTGCTGCGGCCAAATGGACATTCATGTTTGTCTTCTCGACTGCTATTCTCCAAAACAATCTAGAAAAATATGAACATACACTTAGATATACAGTTTTCTGGAATATAAGCACCTCAATTTATTGCAGTCACATCACAAGCAAATAATGAAAAAAACATGTTTAATATTATTTTTGAAAGTAGCGTTTGTGTTTGCTCACTCTAATGTAGGCGTCCTGGTGGTGCCTGGCGAAGTACAGCATGTTATCCAGAGCCAACATGCCGGGAGGGATCTGGGTGAAGTCCACCGCTGGATTCACATGGTTCTGAGGCACAAAACACAAGAGGTTATGGCAAACACAACCGGAAAAGATTGAACTCGCTTAGCTAAAATCAATTCAACAAGCTTCTCTTCAGTCAATAGCGAGGCAAAACAATGATCTATTTTAGTATTTACACTGACATTCTGTCAAAAGATGAAACAGAATGCAACTCCATTGTAATGTAATCGTTGTAATCGACATAGCCTTGATTATTCAAAACAATCTATGATCCGTCATCCTCTTTATGTTCTCATACAAAGTCTCGATCAGGTGAAAGGAAAATCATTTCACTCACGATCTTAAAGCTGGGGTACTGAACTTCCAAACCACAATAACATTTCATAAAATCCAAGCTCCTAGCGCTCAACTATCGCTAGTTTTCACACAAATGTTATTTTTGTCCCATCTGTAGATCAGCCTTCTTTGACAGAAAAGAGATGATCGCTCTTGCTAAGCTCTCAACCCAATTCAAAATATCTGAGCGGTCACCACCAAGGATGGCCTCATGAACATGAACATGTTTTAAGTTTCTGATTGTATATTTCATGTAGATTTTCTTACAGTAATGGATGTTGGTCCATTCTCCCTCCTTATCATCAGTAACACACTGCAGGGACTCTGGGACTGAGAATAGCACTGCAGCAGCTCTGGGCTGACAGACAGCGGCACAGCTGGGTCTGTATTACAAATATTGACCTTTTGCTCAAGGGTATTCTCAAAAATGATTGTATAAGGAAAGTGAAAAAAAAAAAAAAAGTTAAAATAGAATGCAATAGAGGAGTAACAGAATGCCTTTGCTAAGTTAGCTCCCAAGATGACTAATAACAAGATCTAATCTCACATGTTTAATTAACAGCAGTCTTTCTGGACTGACTCAAGTCCCAAGATGGCTGTGTGTGAATAAAATAACTGCCTAATCTAAAACTGTTCCTCCAAGACTGAGGACATGATCCGCCTGCAAACACATTGCATCAGCAAAGGAAATTGTGTTTTATTTCACAATCATTTGTCTCAGAGTGCAACCACAGTTGAGATTTAAGGCACTATGATATCAGGCAGACTGGTTCATTGGGTTTTTGTTGTCAGTGGTGCCATTAGGATACAAAAATAAAATGCTTTGTCAAATTGCTGAAAGGCAGATATGTTGTTAGATAAATTGGTGATGTTTGGTGATGTTTGGACTTAAGCACTCAGGTCTCATAGCAAGAAGATTGTGGTTTTGATCCCCGGTCGGGCCAGTGGCCTTGTGTGTGGAGTTTGCATGTTTCTCCCAGTGTCTTAGTGAGGTTCCTCCAGGTGCTTTGGTTTTCCCGAGTGGCTGCCTTGGGTGAGTGAGCCCTTTGTGAAGCAGTAGGCATTATCAATATCAAAACATAACTTACTATAAATCCCAGCTTCTTGTAATCACGAGTATACATGGACTTGCGCTTCTCCACGCTGCCGCCATTGTTGGGTTCACACTCCACATCGAAGGCAATTCTCCTCAACTCAAATATGATATCCCTTTGAGCCTAACGACAGATATAAATGAACAAGAGTTACCTTTAACACTGAGCATTTGTGTTTTCATTTCACAGGAAGTGGCATTCAAAACACGTGGTGCCTAAATGTGCCAAAAAATCTGTAGCAGAGTAGGTTTTCATAGGACACATTTTATAGGTAAAGTGTTCCAATGTATGTCTTTAGGCCTCTAAAAATTTTGGAAACAAGTAAAAAGTTCCATCCTCTGGAGTTTAGGAGTTTGTTTTAGTGAAAAACAATGGCAAACTATGTAAATTACAGCTATTTCTTCATAAAGGTTTCAGAATGAGAGAGCTGAGAACACACACCTGGTCTTGAGGGTCCATCTTGGTCATCATGCGGTCTTCCAAGAGGTTAAAGGTCAGCACTTGCAGCACATAGAGCTGATGGGCCATCTCGTCATTAATGGGCGTGGGGCTGCGGATTACACTCTGAAAACCAAATAGCAGACTTCATTTGAGCACAAAGCTAATTCCAGAAAAGCATGTTTGTAATAACGCTCTACTTTAAAAGGAAGTAATATATATAAAATTATACTAAAATGTTTCTGTGCTATCAGTCTAGAGGCAAACAGGAAACATTTTGATGATGGTTTTGGTTCTCAAGGCAATTGATTCTCCAGTTAGAATGCTAAATTAGTCTGCAATCCAGCTGTGCTTGTCAATACTTCAATTAGCACCTATAATAAATTATGAGTGGATGAACTGAAAGGACTTACAGTGAGAATAATGGAGCGTAGTTGTTTCTGGGCAAGAATATGGGACATCTCCTGTGAAAGACAAAGGATAAAGGAAAAGCAGAAAGTGTCAAAAGCGACAAAACCTTTTAGGATATCTTGGAAAGAGAATGAAAGCAGGGAAAGGGGGAAAAAAAGAACTCGCCATAGCAACTATCTGCAATGTTGTAAAAGTCTGAAGTATGCAAGCCATACCAAAGGATAATTAAATCTTATAAAGGGGGTTCTAACCTCTAGAGTGCATTATATAAAGGATGCTAATCAAGCGTGCACTTACTGTGAGGGGACAATTTAGGATGTCCACAATGTGCTCATCATCAAACTACCGTATCGTGTGCAGAGGACGGGAGCAAAAGTTAGAGACAGAAAGAGACAGGGTGAGCGAGCGTGTGTGGAAGATGATTTCAGAGGAAAGATTCAATTCATGTGGACGCTGGAGCTGGCTCAAGGGGCACAGAGTGAGGATGAGGAAAGAATGATCATATTTTAGTACAAACTAAATGTGGGGACTACAACGTTAATAGAGAAAAAAACTTATGGGTTAATCTCCAAATTACACAATGTTAAAGGACCATTTTAGCATGGTGTGAGAGCAAGAGTTATGTATGGCATCATCAATGGAAGAACAGAGATAATTAAGAACCAAGATAATATCACATCCTTTCTGGAAATGGAAGTGTTCGTAAATGATGATTAAATATGGGGAGAACAAAAAAGTGCTGATGATTAACACTGTGGTGCATATAGAAGGCATTGCCTCACCTGTCTCTTCTCCTCTGGGGCTTTGAGGAAAAGAGCATTGATGACAGCTATAGTATATGTTTGGATATCTTGGTCTGTCCTAAAAAAAGTACAAACAAAAATACACATATAAAATACATTTAGTGAAACGCTTCAACACAAGGACAACACATTTGTGAGCATCCTGAAATGTCAAATAAATGTGTAGAACGCAGACACTTGCCCCTGCAGGTGTGGGATGAGTTGACCAATAGTGATCTCTTGTGCCACCTTGTGGTAAAGGTCTTGACTGTTGAGCACCATAGACTCCAGAATGGCCAAAGAGCGCTGGAGCACTGCCGTGTCCATGGCAGACTTGTTCACATAACTGGCTATCTGCACAAATCATGTACACAATACGAATGAGTGTTTCAAACTATTTACAGTGGAAACCGAAAGAGAATATACATCTGTATTTTCCCCTTACTGTAAAAAATAAAACAAATGGAAAAAAAACCTTTTAGGTTTGTTATTTTACATGTACAACGATACTGAGAGAGTCTTTTTAGAATTATACGCATTACATTCTAGAAGTCATGTCTTTAAATAAGGTGTGACCCAAGTTCAACAATCTAAAAAACAATTCTACCAAATACTAACGGAAATATTTGTTAACGTCTGATTTTGTAGAAAGTAATACAAAATCTAGAAGGCCAAGAAAGTGTAAGTGATCAAGATTTGTAAAAAATAAAAGTGAACGCATGTTAGTTATTCTCAACTGTATGAAAACCGTCCGTCTATATAACATGGTGATATCCCAATGTGTCCCCAGTTGAAAATAATACCCAGCCCTGCTCTAGATCAATGGCCTTTAGCCTTCCAATCTGACCTTCTTGATGAAGGCCACAGAGAAAGTGTCCCAAGAGACGATGCCATGGTCCATGAGCTCCACAAAGGCCGTCAGCGTGAAGGATAGCAGGTCTCCAAAACTACAACACAGACACATACTACTGTAAAACCAGATTACAGATTTACAACACTTGGACGGAGACATAGAAAGCAACAGACGGTGAGTCAACAAATACAAGACAGAAGTTCAACACTGCACCAGAGCTGTCTGAGGAAAAAGGGCGCAAAAAGAAATCGTGGAGAAATGCGAAGCAGGCAGGCTGGCCTTTCAAACACACCAGGAGGCCGTCACAGGCCGAGAGCAGCGACAGCACAGCACACTGTTCAAACGGGAGCAGAAAGACGCTTTATTAAGCGAAGTCATGCTGTTAGAGAAATATCAGGAAAATCCATCACTCTGCAGGAGGCAAAAGCAGGATACACTTGGACGGCCATTCACCAGAGATGGATTACTGCCTACGCACACAAAGATCTGCAGTTTGATTAAATCAAGGCCGCGTTCTGCATCACACTTTAAATATTATACACATGACACCTTAGTTGGTATTTTAAAATTATAAATGTGCAAACTTTCATATTAAAAGAAGACAGGGAAACAATAAAGCTACAACCAAAACATGTTATTAGAGTGGATTACAAGAAGAATTAATATTAGTACTAGAACAGAAACTATGTTAACATTAAGTCTATAACCTGGCCCAGCGCATAAGGAAACATCCATGTGAAAATAAAGTTTATTAGCCCTGATCTACACTACAGTTCTCTACAATGACTAGATACAAATAATTCAAAGGCAGAAAATGATGTGGATCATGTTTTTTTGAGATAAATGAAAAGGAAGAAAAAGAAAGAAAGAAAGCCAAGATACACAGTAAGTCGTTGACAGTTAATGGTTAATAGAATTTAAGGAAATGTTAAATAGACTTATTCAGGAGTCTATACAAATCCCATCATGGCTTTCTTTCTGACACACATTAGAAATAAGAAAACCCAAAGATAGTATCTCTAAAGAAAACGCATGCAGATCAGAGCCTGTAAATGATTGTGTTAAAGATAGAGTTCCCATAAGGCACTGGGGCATGGTCAGAGTCATGCAGGTTAGGAAGAGAGCAAAGAGCCAATGACTTTACCCAGCTGCGGCAAAGGGGGCGGGCCTTACCATGGCTTCATAATCTTCTGTAGTTTCTGATAACGCCTGCAAAGATTATAAAACTTTGGTGTCAAAATGGTAATGATGGTAAACATATTAGGTTTGTTGTTGGTTGTTATTATTCTGTTTCTTGTGACGATAATTAACGTGATAAAAACATTTCAAGGATGAGGGCAACTATCTAATACAAATAAATGGTAATAAACAATATGAAAAACTGCATATTCACGTGATAATTTCCCTTTTACTAAGCCAAAATGGGAAAAAGCTCATACAAAATCACCAGTAAAACAAAGTAGATAAATATGAATTCAATCCCTCGCAACATGGGACTGTCTTTGTTGTCATAAAAATATGATGGCACAGATGCAGCCACTAGAGGGCAGTATACAATTACTTTCAGGAAACAATAGTCTTGAAATCACAGCGCCACTTAAATCCCAAGAGCAGAGGACTGATCTATTATAATTAGCTCCTCTAATTTAGTTGGCAGCTTTAGAAAGGATGTGCTTCGCTTTGAGACGACAAAGCTCTTCTCTGTGAGCTGCTGTTCAGTTTGTAATGCAGCACAGACCACTGCCATTGTCTCCTCTTTCAGTGACTACATACTGAGGGCTTTAATGAATATAATGGTTAAAGGGGTTTTATTAATATATGACCTGTGGTAGAATATAGGATTTAATCTTTGATTTGTGTTGAAAACTCTGCAACTCTTCTAACGTGTTGACCCAAAACATATATTTTACTACTTAAATTAAGTGAGGATGAACCAGGTAATTTATTTTAGTTGGATGGTAGAACAAATTAAATGTTTCGTTAAGTTTGGCTTGGCGTTGAAAAGCGGTGAAAATGCAGATGCCAATTATAAGTTACAGACCCCTGAAGGAAATGCAAAGAGCAATACAGTCTCACTTTCACACCTGGACTGCAATAAAGTAAAGTTATCAGTGTTTTTCTTTTCATATTGAATAATATTTTGTATTGATGTTGATTTGAGAATATTTGACTGTCTACAAAAAAAGCTATGACAATAAACCGTGCAGCTTTGGTGTCATTTCACGTTTGAGAAATTGCAAATGTTTTCTTATTTTAGGCAAAACAAAAACATGTGACTTTTGCATTTTGCTCATTTGATTGTTCTTGTAGTTATCCATCAATCTGCAGCCCTTACTGAAACATTCTCATTCTCATCTACCTCAGCACAATGTGTCCTCTTTTTAACCTTCACCAGAGATTGCCTGCAGGGCTCCACACCCCGTATACATTACAGTATAATTCATCCTATAGTTTCACTTGTATGGAATTAAAAGGGAAAACAAGAGCCCTAGGGGGAAACTGCAGAACTATGTTCTTATCTCAGCTTTTATACACCTGCTTCAGCTCCACATTAATTTTAAGGGGAAAATGCATATGCATAAAACAAAACAGGGGCAGATCAAGACATGCATAAAATATGTACAACACTCAAAGTGGCATAATATCTACACAGAGAGAGATCACAACTATTTGATATCAGGGGCGGCTATAGACTGACTGGTACCTAGTTTAGTGCAAGAGCTAATATTATATACAAGCACATACTTCAGTAACACTGTGTTACAAAATGTAGACTATGTATTCATTTAATCAGACGTCTCTTATCCTATTCTATAATCCTGGAAAAATAATTAGATCTACAATTGGTAGAGAGAAAAAACCATTTTAATTCAAATAGTTTAGCTTGTAGAGACAGGCACACCAAAAAGGCTGATACTTGAATAGTTGGTTCATATGTATCTGTAAAGCCCTGAACTAACGTACTCTAAATAAAAATGAAATGGTGGACAGTACATTAGGGCTGAGATGAACTTACTCAGTGCCGCTCTCCACCATCTGAGTGAGCAGCGAGATGCCGTCCAGGTTAATGAACTCTTGTGCAAAGGTGATGTCCCTGGACGCGTTGGCCAGGTCTTTGAGAGCCTCCAGCTTGGCATCCATACTGGAGGACTGTATGCGCTCATGTAGCTGAGCTGCTGTCTGGGACTAAAGAGGACAGAAAATGAAACCTAGTTACAAGCTACAATAATGCACAATACTCAAACTTTATCCAACTTACTGGGGATGTGGTCAAACGCAGAATAGAGCCATTTTTTATGTCATTACGATTCTACAACAAAATAAATATATTAAATATATATTTTTAAAATTCCTTTAATAATTTTACATACATATACATGTATTTTACATACATTTTACATACATATACCATACATAAAAATACATACCTTTTCTGTAATGTAGGAATTTGTGGAGTCCGCAATTTGCAAGGCAAAGTTTTCATGGTTCCCCAAAGACCACCTGAAAAGGAAAACATTTAGTGAATATAATGATTAACAGAGAAAGGTTCATAGGTTTCTGAGTGATGAAAGATGAGATTTGTGTGTATAATTATAATACATCAAAATATTATATTTGTTGAATGGGAAAAAAGTCCTAAAATTGTCGCTTGAAATGATGGGAGGATTTATGAATGCACACTCACCCCTCACATACTTCTTTAATAATTGCAGACAGTGGCTTTTTCTGCAGAAAGAGAAACAGAAAACTGCAGTGAATACAGAGGCTGTAATTATTTTATATTACAGGGCTGGAGCAATAACGTGGATGGTTTCAAACATTTATCAATGAGCAGGCTGTATGTCATACATATTCAACTGCACTGTACAAGACTAAAATAAAGTTCTTAAAGCAAGATCTAATGTAATGGCATGTACTGTTTTTATCTAGAATACAAAGAGCACCCTCACCCTGACTAAAACATGTCTAAAAAGCACCATATTCTTATCTATAGATGAAGTCTACTGTTTACCTAGAAATTCTGCAGAATAACAGCCCACATCAAAGCCGGTGGTGCTGAAGATATGAAGCAACTGATGGGACAGTGGATACAAAAGGACAAGAAACGAAATGTGACACATGCAGCTCTGGGAATGGCCATGTGAACAAAGGGAGCGGAGAGGATTTAGTGAGAGAAACAAACACATGGGACGTGATCAAAGCAAAACTAACAAGAGTAAGTACAGTTGGCCGAGCATATGGGGTGTGGATGATGTTGAAAAGAAGAAGAATGATTGTGGAGGCAATGGAAGAACATTCCCCTCTCAGCAAATGCACAGGGGCAGTATAAGAAATGTGTGCTAGGATTTAATACTCGCCGCAGAACACCACACACATAAACACGGAGCAGATCTTACTCAAAGCCATTAGAAAAACAGCCTGCCCTTTTAAAAGTCCAAACTGGAAATTGTATACAAGTGCCGCTTTCAGAGACTGTGCAGTGATTCATACCAGTGATTCAACTTTATATTTAGCTTATATTATGCATGACGTGTGTAGAATAATCCCATACAGAGTGAAAATTGCTTTAGTGTACTGATTGAAATATTACAGCACAAACAAGAATCTATACAGCATAGACTCTTGACACAATATCCATCCACATTCTTTTGCTTTATTCGTGGCCGGCTTGAGAAGGCAGCAGTCTGAGAAGATGCCCACACTCTCCTAAGCACACTCTGTCCAGTTCATCTGAGGGAATCCTAAGCTATCCCAGGCCTGTGTGCTGAGGCTAACACAGGTCACCTCCCAGTGGAAAATGCCCAGAACACCTCTCCAAGGAGGCGTCCAAGCGGCATCCCAAACAGATGCCAGAGCACCTCAGCTCGCTCCTCCTCCCCACGTGGAGCACTTCAGCCCTATGGGTTAGTTGGCAGAAGCTTGTAGTCAACAAAAACACTTCAATGCGATAATTATGAGTACTGTGGAAGTACTGTCTGCTTAAATTACTCTGTGCACATTTTGCTTAAAGATTTAAAGTCTCAGCAAATGTTTCAGTGCATTTATCGTCTCCTCCTTTCACGGCCTCTGGCATTAACATAAATACATAAACATAGGTATTAACTCGCCTCATTCATCTCTCCAACCTCATTTTGATCTCTTCTTCCCATAACATGCAAATCTCATTAAACTTTCTCTACCAATGATCATCTTCGACTAAAATACTTCTCCATGGAAAGAAGTATGAATGTTTTATGTCTTTAGGTTGAAAGTTTAAAATGTATTATTTGATCTGAAATGAGCCTTCACTACTTCCACATTACCATTAATGCTTTACACCTTCGAGAGTAGCTGTATACAACATAAGATGTTGAAGAAAAATCTAGAAAAGTAGGGTTGTAGAAGTGGAGCCTGAAGGGTTAATACAGTAATACTTGGAAATGTAAAAAGTACTAATACTATTCCAAGACTTTTCAGTAATGCATACAAAATAGAATTTCTGCTATTTTAAATGTACATTTCGTCATGACTCCCACGTTAATTTGCCGTATGCAGTGTTAAACCCACAGGGTAAACAGCCACTAAACAAATTCATGTTTCAGGACATTGATGCACAAAGTGGATTCAAGAGAAATGATTCACACATGCAAATACTGCTGCCGGCCCATTGTACAGAGCATACACAGAGGAGGAGAATGGACGTACTGTAACAGTTTGAACAAAAGAGCAGGAGAAGGAGTGGAGGCAGAAGAAAAGACAGAAGGAGGTGAAGGAGGAGGACAAAAACACTGGAGAGGAGTGGAGGAAGCATCACTTCGGGGCGTTTCCAAATCATTTTACTGGGAAATTATTTAAGAAAGACAACTTTTTAACAGAACGTGGAACTGGTTACATGTGAAAGATGCGGAGAAAAAAAACATCTTCTGATATCGTATTTCACAAGTCTATAATGACATGTCACTATCGCTCCAGAATCCAGAACAGTTTTCCTTACATACTTTTCTTTTATTTATTTCTGTGATTAAATTAAGTTCTCTCTCCCTATCTTTCTCTTGTAACATTGCATTGGCTCCACATAGTGTCTATCTTTTAAAACTTCAGAAAAAACAAATATACCTAATAGGTATTGGTCTTTATGTTACATAAACACAACAGTTTGTATTCTTCAGTCATGCAAACATGATTTTGGTAATTATTGGTGAAAACTACACTCACCTATAAATGACCAAGGACAAAATCCTGATTATCATCATCATCATTAAACTATTTTATTTTCGGAATCAGGCTTCAAATATTCTCATGAATAAAAAGAATAATAAACTGGTTTCATAAATACTGCTTTTCATGACATCCAAAGACGCTGAGATTACATAATGGAGATGACCGCCTTTCTTAATTATGCTGGCGAGGAACCTATAGCACATGTTTGTGTGGCCTAACCCTCGTCCATTGAGAAGGAGGCCAATAATCAGCTGACTCACAGCAGCACAATGGCCTGTGACTAAGACGTTAACACGGCCTCTGTGTAATCTGCCAACAGAACAGTAAACATGCGTCCCCACACACGCCAATACTGTGGGGCATCATTACTACACAGACCCATAATCAACATTTATCTGTATAGCATTGTATAGTATTTTATTTGGAATTTTCACAAGCTGTGAGCCAATTACCACCATTATTACAGATGTTGCGTGTTATGAGTCATTCCACATTGTAAGTTCAATTACAAAAGAAAATGGACTTAAATGATATTTTAAGTTCTACTGGTATGTGCTATGAGTGATATAACACAGACAGGGCATGGACAGTACCTGGTCTAAATCCATGAGTCTGGGGAAGGCTCCCGGCCACTCGATGGCCACTTTGACGATGTCTGATGGCGGCGGCATGGCGGCCGGTGTCTGTGGTGTGGTATAGTCACACCTGTGTTGCTGTTACGGAAACAAGTGCACCCAAACCTGCAAAGACAGGACGGATTGTTTAGACAAATAAAGGAGGACAGTAGAGTAAAAACAAGCAGTGCAAATGCTAAAGTAGACAGCGGCATTATTGTGTTTGTTCCATCTTCTAAAACAAAGCCGAACAATCACCAAGGTTATTACACTTCAAAAGCAACACGACCATAACAACCCAGTCCCTTTTGTTAGCACCACTGCAGACTAGAGCTTCAGGACTGAGAGCAGGGCAGTCGTACTCCAGCTGCGGAACAACCTCCTTACATTGTGCTTGAGTGCTTGTGTATACATGCTCTGTTTGGCGCACCATAGAGCAAAAAAGAAAGAAAGAAAAAGCCAGATCCTCCAGACTTTTCTTCCATTACATTTCAAGTGTACCGAGATTGAAGCAGAGTCAAAAGTCAGTTTTTAATAGAATATCTGTCCAGGAAATTGAATTTTGAAAGAAGTTGCTGCAGTGAACTTTTACAATACTTCAAGCTTATACGTTTAATTGAATGAGCTTTTAGCCTAGAGACACGTGGATCCAGTTTTTTTCAGAAAGCTCTAAGATTATAGCCAGTTAGCCACTAATCTTCTGCATTTCTTCAATCCTGATACGATTTATGAATGTTAAGTAGGTTGGGGGTTTAGAAAGGACTGCTGCCTCTATTAGGGATGTCCTGATGTTGATTTGTGTCTCCTGATCACATGGTATGATATTCTTCTTCTAATCTTATTACTTTCATATTAAATATATCATATATTATCACAGTCCGAACAATTCTACTAAAAAAAGGATTTTTTTATGCAATGAGCAATTAAACTTTAACTCCTACACGTTACAGCAGCTGCTGCGGTGTAGTTAGTGTAGCCTCTTAGCTGCAGCATTAGCCGTGTTAGAGGCAACATGTTGTGATCTGGATCTGGCTGTGTGCGAGTGTCTGACACTCGGGCCGTTCTCACCAAATCCGTTAATTACAGCTACACAATTACTGGCCAGATCGACGGCTATTACTGATGCCAATATTGGGACATCCCTGGCCTCCTTGACCGGGCTGTGGATAAAGTGGATAAAAAGGTATGGATAATGAACACATTCACACAATCATGGTTCACAGAATCATTTTGGAGTCGACCCTTTACGCAGAAAATCATTTGATACAAAGTTGACAAAAGGTGGATCCCTAAAAGATAAAGGTGCACCATGAAACTTTAACTGAGATTTTTTTTAGAAATTCCTTGTTATAGCACATTTTGACCTTGACATTTCTAAAGAATGAATAGAATACATTCACTGCCTGATAGACTTATAGTCTTCTTCTTGATTCAATAAACTAGAGTTAAGCTTTTTAAATGGATAGAATTACATAAAAAATGGTATGCATTTGATTATAGTTGGAACATAGTAATGAGCTGGCCTAGTGTTGTGAGTGAGTCAGCCCATAATAATCCGCCATCGCCTTTATTCGAGGGCCCGTTGCTATGGAGTCCACTGCATCAATAGCTCAAGATGCATCTTTCTTGGCGAAGCACTTGTCATACTCCAGTCACGTTCATCACAACACCCCAAAACATGAATCACTCCTCCTAAATATTTGAATTTTATTGGAGAACAAATGTATTTCCAAACTGGATCGAAGCGCCTTTGTAACATATGTCAAATAGTTTGCTTTTAGCGGCAGGGAGAGAGAGCACAGTCAAGTGGCTCTTCTTTGCAAGGCAATGCAGAGGAACAGAAAACATGATGATGCGGTAATGCCTGCAGAGAATCAAACATCTGTGTGAGCAAAGCCCTGGATTCAAATACTTAACCGTGATTTGCATATTCTTTCTGTACCACGGCACAAAACAAGGCATTCATTTAGTTTGTGCTCATCCAAAGTTATGGCACAAATCATATTTTTGCTGTGGGGGCGTTAAATTAAACACATCTGTAATTGTAAATGTCCTGACCTTAAATGCATGTGGTTTGGAGGACTTTAGACATTGGTTTTAATAGTAGATATAAAAAGTCTGCTTTAAAAGCAACCTTTTGACAGAAGATATTTTTGAATGTAAAATGCTGAGCCCGAGTTCATTGACCGTGTAAGAGCCATTTGGTGGGAAGGATGGGAATAACATATACATTTGTGGCGCCACCTGCATGTGAAAGCCAGATCCCGACTGACCTTCAGAAGATAAGCAGGGCAGGGCCTGGTTAAAACTAGGGGTGGGAACTTAAGGGTACCTCACGATACGATACGATACATGATACAAAGCTCACGATAACAATATTATCACGATAACGATATAATCACGATAACGATATAATCACGATAACAATATTATCACGATAACGATATATCACGATAACAATTTTATCACAATATGACTATTGATATATTGGTCAGAAATATACAATATGCCAATTTATGGCATAAATAAAAGAAAAAATACACTTTATTTCATGATAAATGGAATGGAGATGCGTAATGTAGCCATATTGATTGATACCAATTTTAAAAGAGAATTGTATTAAAAAAAAAAAAAAACATTTTTTTTTTTTTCAAAATCAATATCGATACTTGGCAAATGCATATCGATAATCGAATCGCGGGAGAAAGTATCGAACCTAGTTAATACTGTGATGGGTGCCACAGTGCCAAACTGTTGTGCCCTTAGGCAAGACACTTCACCCACATTGCCTCGAATGAGTCTGGTGTGGGGGCGACAGTAGCTCAGTTGGTAGAGCATTGGCCTTAAGGCCAGAAGGTCGTGGGTTCAATTCCCACCTCTGCACCTTCTCCACCGACTCCCACTGATGACTGCTGTCGTTGTGTCCTTGGGCAAGACACTTAACCCCACTTTGCCCAAAGTCCCCACTGAAAGATCAAGGCTATGCTCACACTCAGAGCGCAGCCGTCCTCCTGTGGACTCACCACCTGCAGAGGGTCAGTGAGGGGCTGGTGCTATGAGACTTGGGTGGCATCTCTGACTGCCACCCCCCTGACCCAGAAATGGATTAAAAGGGAAGAAAATGGATGGATGGATGGATGAGTCTGGTGTGTGCGTGAGTGATTTGTGGTGGTGGTGATTTGTGGTGGCCTTGCTTCTGTCAGTTTGCCCCAGGGCAACTGTGGCTACAGTAGTTGCTTATCACCACTGGATAGACATGCTCTCTATTAAGTAAGTGTGAAAAACACTTAACAAAAGAAAGTGTTATAACTGAAAATAAACCTGGGATGAAAATAGCAGTTTGGCACAAGGGAAAAATATAAGTACACAAATGAAAAGTTGCTCTAAAAAGAGACAAAGTAACACACTTTGTCAGATTGAAAGATGTATCATCTTCAATACATTCAAGAACAAGTCTGGCACATGGGCACAACTAGCCATGTTATATTAGCAGATCTTTTGAAGAACATTGCCCATCCAAAGTGCCGCAAAATTGACTGACGGTCAGGCTAAAAGCAATATTTTGGTGTCTATGGTGACTACAGAACTGGCTCTGATTTTTCTTCGTAAACAGAAGAAGCACGCGTGTGTGTTTCCAGCACCTTGTCATCATTCTCCCAGAAATACATGAGTCAGAGCTGGCCTTGGTCCTTATTGATCGCACACACACACACACACACACACACACACACACACACACACACACGCACGCACACGCACGCACACACACACACACGCTTCACTGACAGAGCACGTAAATCTTCTAAAACTATATACTTGGTGTAATTGAGAGATGCAGCCTCCTGCTGGTAATCCACGGGGCACGCCTTCAACATGTTTTTTCCAGGAATCAATACAAAGACTGCGGGTAACAATCTCTGTAAAATAAGAGTTGAGGAGGAAACCCTGAAGACATCACTATTCGAGAACTTTGTGCAAACACTAAATAATTGAATGTGGAGTAAACATTCAACAGTCCCTCATTAGTTTCAATATTGTAGGTATTGACTATGTTTTATTTAAATTTATTTAGTATATTTCTGTGTGGACAAGCAACTCCAGGGCATCAACATTTTGGTGAACTGGACATTAAAACCAATGGAAAATGTGTATATATATTTCTAAGAACATTTGCTAATTTTCTCACGTCCAAGAAATAGATACATAATTTAAGTATAGAAGTTTCCTGTCCAATTTCAATGTATATGAAAAAGTTTAAGGGTGCATTCACACTTTCAATTTGAATCAGAACACGTTTGCTTGCTTAATGCAGTATTGGTTTGTAGGTAATTATTGAGAAGCAAGTCTCAGCCTGAATCAACCATATTCTAGTAAGTAAGTAAGTAATGTTATTTATATACTGCTGTTTTACAATGAGTACAGTACACACTGGCGCATCAAAGCCTCCAACCAAAACCATCCATTCATACCTATTGTGCATGTGTGGTAGAGGAAACCGGGGCACCCGGAGGAATCAAATGCAGACACAGGGAGAACATACAAACTCCACCCAGAAAGGCCCTGTTCCGACCAGGATTTGGGCCACTAAATTCATAACAAATTTTATATTTAGTGATTCAACAATGATCATGCAGGAATATTTCCCTACCATTACAGTTCAAAGCAAAAACAACAAGAACCTGCCTCTAATTACTCTACTGAAATCTGTTTACTTACAGCAATAATTAGTAATGGCGTGTAAAATCGGGTCATCTTTGGTATGGGTCTATGGACTGCTCTCATACACGTCTCGCACTGAAAATGCTTGTGCCCAACTATCGGCAAGTTTGAAAGATAAGTTATTACACAAATGTGTCCAATTGATTGAAGTGTAATTTAAAAGCCCATAAATCAATACTGTATCAAGCCAGAAAAAGCTGATGCATAAAAGTGTTGCAGCGCTTTTATAACACAGTAGAACTTTGTATGTCCTTTCATATTGATTTTATTGCTTTATGCCGACTCGACCAATACTCTTTCCAAGCATGATTTGACTCTGGCGGTTGAGATGGCCGCCT